GACGAAGACAAATTGACGGGGCCCGAGACAACATCGATGATGATACTGCAACAGCGATGAAGATCTGGGTGTGATTGCATAGGGGCGGATCGATGGTGGCCGGTAGTGGGAGACGATGGCGAGCAGCGTAACAGGGGAAGATCGATTCGGGGGAGTTAACTGGTTGGAGAAGATGATGCGAAGGTGAAGGTGGTCTGACAGGTTTCGATTTGAAGGGGAAGGAAGAGGATGATGATTTGGGGGATGTTGGGTTGAAACAGAGACGGAGTTGGATTTAGGGGGATGTGGGGTTTGGACAATTTTTCTTTTTATTTTTTTATTAAGTTTTTCATTAATCTATGTGGCAATGTTGTTTAAAAATCTCACCACCACCTCAGCAATGCCGTTAGTCCAGTCAGCTATTTGGTTAACACCGTTAAAGAATTGGATGGAAGTGGCTATTATTGGTATTTCCCCAAAAATGGCTATATTTGGCAAAACCGTCAAAGTTTTAGCTATACAAGTGTATTTGGCCAATTTAAAATTATATATTTTCCAAGGAAAAATGGTCACTTACTGTATTACTCATGACAAGCTCTTTACTAGATTGATGGTAGTGGTAATTCTATGGGCAACTTCAAGAATTGTGTCCCTCCTAACAGGGACGGAGGTAGGATTTGAAGTTAGAGGGCCGATTTTTTTTTTTTTTTTTTTGCGAGAACATAATAAAACAAAATGTGTCCATAAATTATTGAAAACACTCAAAAGGTAACCAATTGATGGAATTATGTTTCAAACTTTTAGAATGCATGTCTCTAATATATTCATTGATTAGAGTATTCTGTTTCTTTTTACCAAAATGTAATTAAGTTAAAAAAAATGGAATGAAGAATTGAAACCAATTTTTACAAAATGATGATATTTTGGATGTATCAATAAACATTAAGCTTATATATGTCTAATAAAAATTTAAACATACTAATTAAGAAGCAGGGTTAGATGCTAAAAAGCCATTCATAAAAAAATGCACTTGTGTGGGAGAACTATTAACCTCCCACCGTAAAAAAATCCAAGTTCGCACACTACCGACCATAAGTACGCAAGGAAACTACAGCTAGCACGCTCACCAATTAGTCTAGAATTTGACGTTAGTCTATGAGCAACCTAAAGAGTTTTAAAATCTTAGGGCCATGGCCCCCTGCCTACAAGCTGGCTCTGTCCCTGCCCCTAATAATCATAATGAATTTTTTTAATAAATATAAATAGTAGAGTAAGATTTAGGAAGAATTTTTCGTCAAAAATTGATAGAGACAGGTCGAAAACATTCCTGGACCGTGGATGAGACAGATTGAAAACCTGACTCAACCATTGCGAGACAAGTTGAAAACCCGGCTCAACCATGGCAAAGACAAGTTGAGGAACCATTTGGGGTGGGACCGGATGAGATGTGTTGAAATCTTGTCTCTATCCAACCCAAACGGGTCAGGTTTTCAACCTGTTTGGACCATGGTTGAGTCGAGTTTTCATCTTGCCTCTGTCAATTTTCCAAAAAAATGTTTTCTTTTTATCTTCTTCAGAACAGGCGATGACCGGGATTGACAGAGCTTGCGCCTCCTGTGACGTAGATGGATTCGTGCAAAGAGTCATGAATGAAGAGTGTTTGTGTTGTTTTTGTTTGATTCATTGGGATAGGAGGGTGTGAAATGTGTTTGTCTTGGGGTTTACAGGTTTTGAAAGACAAAAAAATAAAAAATAAGATAATTTTTTATGAGATTTTGAGCGGTGTATATTGATTCTAGGAAGACGAATATTATGTTGGAAATAATATAATTATTTCCTTTACTTATATAGTTGTTGGGAACTTATTGGGAAGTGAATGATTTTTGGTTTATATATTTGGAAATGGTGGCCGGCGGATTTGGGAGGAATGGAGAAGAATTAGAAGGCAAAGATGTTTTTATTACTTGGCTCTTTTTCTTTCTTTTGCTCTGCACACTTCCACAACTACACATTAGGCTATTTATAGCCATTACATCTCAATCCACCGCCATACACTTGTGGATTTGATTTTTTTTTCATTTGTTTAATCACAACTAACAACTACTCACAATAATTAACCTTCTACGACTTTCCAGTTTCCACACAACAGACACTCCAAATCCATTTTTCCCATAGCTAACTTTTCTAGGCCTTTCTGATACTTTTCCTTTCTAGATATTTTTAATTAAACTTTATTATATTTCAACACTCCCCCTTAAAGTTTAATTCGTTGTAACTCCTAGTAGCGTCCTCATTTTGACGAACACATCTTGCTTTAGCGGCTTCGTGAATATATCAGCAATCTGGTCTTCAGTCTTCACATACTTCAGCATAACTTCTTATGGCTCCACACACTCTCGTAAGAAATGATATCTTGTATCAATATGCTTACTGCAATCATGAAACACCGGATTCTTTGCTAATGCTAGGGCAGACTTGTTATCCACATAAATTTCAGTTGATTTTCCTTGTGTCATATTCAACTACTTCAGTAACTTTCTCAGCCATATCGCATGATACACACACGATGTCGCAGCAACATACTCAGCTTCACAAGTAGATAGTGTCACGATAGCTTGCTTCTTTGAACTCCAAGTGAAAGCTGTATCTCCCAGGAAAAATACGAATCCTGTGGTGCTTTTGCGATCATCTACGTCTCCTGCCCAATCACTATCGCAGTATCCAACCAATTTGAAATTTTCCGACTTAGTATAAAACAAACCATGATCGTTTGTACCTTTAATGTAGCGTAGTATCCTCTTTGTAGCATTCCAGTGTGACATAGTTGGCGCCTCCATGAATCTGCTGACTAATCCAACTGCTTAGAGAATATCTGGTCCAGTACAAGTCATGTATCTCAGAATTCCCACCAGGCTTCTAAAGTCCGTTAAGTTGACCTTCTCTCCTTTGCCATCCTTGGATAATTTCAGTCCACACTCTGCTAGTGTGCTCACAGGATTACAGTTCTCCATCTTAAACTTCTTCAGACCTCTTTGGCAAAACCACTCTGTGAGATGAAAATTCCTTCCTCCTTTTGATTTACTTCAATTCCAAGATAATATGACATTAATCCGATGTCTGTCATCTCGAACTCACGAACCATCGTCTTCTTAAACTCTTCAAACATTTGAGGATCGTTGCTTGTGAAGACGAGATCATCTACATATAGACAAACTATCAGGATTGCTCCCCCTTGCACCTTGCAGTATAGTGCATTCTCATGTGGGCATTTACTGAACCCGTTTTGCTAAAAATACTTGTCAATCCTGCTATTCCAAGCTCTCGGTGCTTGTTTCAGACCATATAGTGCTTTCTTAAACTTCAACACCTTATCTTCTTTACCTTCAACGACCTATCCAGGGTGTTGCTCAATATAGATATCTTCCTCGAGATATCCATTTAGAAAAGCTGACTTCACATCCATCTGATGTATCTTCCATCCATTTTGAGCAGCGAGAGATATCACCATCCTAATACTCTCCATTCTCGCCACGGGAGCAAAAACTTCATTATAGTCAATGCCTGGTCTCTGACTATACCCTTTTGCCACCAATCTTGCTTTGTGTCTGACAACTTCTCCTTTAGCATTTTTCTTGGCCTTGAATACCCACTTCACGGCGATTGGCTTCTGGTTCTTAGGAAGTGACACAAGCTCCCAAGTCTTGTTCTTCTCAATTGCTCCAATTTCTCCATCCATAGATCTCTTCCATTTTTCATCCTTCATGGCTTCTTCGACATCCACTAGTTCACTATCAATGAAATGACAATAGAGTGTCAATTCATCACCTTCAATGGTTGTCGTTTCCTCATAAATTTCTTCAAGTCTCCTATACTTCTGTGGCCTTTCTCAGGGACTTTCACTAGATTCTCCTTCTGGGCTAGCAGGCTCTCTGTGACTGGGTGGACTTGTCATAGGTGTAGCTGTATCTGGTTCATCATCACTTTCATCCATAATGAATGGATAAAAAGTATAACTCTTCTTTGCTTCAGTAGTCCAGTCCCATGTTGCTTCTTCATCAACTACCACGTCTCTGCTGATGATCAGCTTCTCTTCCACGGGATCAAACATTTTGTAACCTTTTGAGTGTTCTGAGTATCCCAGGAATATGTACTTCTTGCTTTTGTCGTCCAACTTCTTCCTTTCTTGATCAGGTACGTGCACATATCCGACACTTCCGAAGTCTCAGAGGTGAGAGATTGTGGGTTTCCTTCCGCTCCATGCTTCTTGGGGTGTTTGATTCCAAACACTCTTTGTTGGAGACCTGTTCAGCAGGTAGACTGCACAATCAACAGCTTCAGCCCATAGCTCCTTTGGAAGATTCTTGCTCTTCATCATGCTTCTCGCCATGTTGAGGACAGTTATGTTCTTCCTCTCAACAACTCCATTTTGCTGTGGGGATCTTGGGACTGAGAGAAATCTGTGAATTCCTTGATATTCATAGAACCTTCTGAACTTCTTCAGCATAAATTCTCCACCTCTATCTTATCTCATTGCTTTGATGTAGCGGCCACTTTCATTCTCCACGAGCATCTTGAACTTCTTGAAAGCTTCAAATGTGTCTGACTTTTGCTTTAAGAAGTACACCCATGTCTTTCTACTGTAGTCATCAATGAACAATAGGAGGTATTTGTTCTTGCCAAATGATGTTGGAGTGATCGGACCACAGAGATTTGCATGGACAAGCTCAAGTGGTGCTTTAGCTCTTGACAGGGACTCCTTCGGGAAACTTGCCCTGAATTGCTTCCCAACTAAGCATCCTTCACACAACTGGTCTGGATGATTGATCACTGGCAGACCATGCACCATCTTCTTCTGACCGAGTAACTTCAGGCCTCCAAAATTTAGATGACCATTCCTCAGATGCCATAGCCATGTATTGTCCTTCTCACATGCTTTCAAACACTTCGCTATCTCAGTCTGAATGTTCAAGGTGAACATTCTGTTTCTTGACATTGGGACCCTTGCCAACAACTGCTTCTTCTCATAACAGCTCCAGTTGACGATTCACCATGTGGACTTCATAATTTTTCTCCATCAGATGACCCAAACTCAGGATGTTACTAGTCATGTCTGGGACATAGTACACATCACTGATAAATTGCTGTGAGCCATTCTTGAGCCGGATGAGTATAGTTCCTCTCCCTTTGATAGGAACTTTCGAGGAGTCTCCAAATACGACATTTCCTTTTACCGATTCATCCATATCCACGAACATGTTTCTTTTACCGCACATGTGGTTGCTTGCTGCATTATCCAGATACCACATGTTGTCTTTTGGTTTCTCATCTCCTTGGTGTGACAACATCAATGTGCCTTTGACTTCTTCTTCTTGCACGTTGTTTGTCGTCTCCTCCACTTCTTTAGGCGGACTCCAACATTCCGATGCATAATGCCCGTACTTCGAGCAATTATGGCACTGGACGTTGGATTTATCACGACGTTCATTTGATCTCCAACTTCCTCTTCCACGTCCACGACCACAACCTCTTCCTCTGGTGGACGTTTCATAATTGTTCGTGGTGAAATTTCCTCCGTCTCTAGTTTGATATGCTCCTCGGGCTCTTCCTCTTCCTCTGCCTTTGTAGCTGCCTCTGCCTCGACCTCTGTACTGACCTCCTCCTCGTGCACCTTCTTTCTCCTCTGTGGTATCTTTTGTAGCTAACACTTGCTCTGACGATTCTTCATTTATTTTATTTAGCCTTTCCTCCCGTGCCTGCAATGAGCCAATAACTTCATCCACTGTCATTTTTGACACATCTTTTGCTTCCTCCATGGCCACCACCACATAATCGAACTTGGGTAATAATGACCGTAGAATTTTCTCCACCACTTTGGTCTCTTCAATTTTCTCCCCATACTGCTTCAGTTTGCTGACGATAGACTTCACACGAGCGGTGTAATCTGAAACAGATTCACCTTCCTTTATTTTCATAGATTCAAAATCTCCCCTTAGTGTCTGAAGTCGAACCTTCTTTACTGGTTCTACGCCTTGCATTTCCTTTTGCAGAATCTCCCATGCTTCCTTTGCTGTGGTAGCATCTGCTATTTGATCGAACATCGATTCATCAAGACACTGATGAATGAGAGTGAGTGCTTTCTGATCACTCTTTCGATTCTTTCTCAACACCTCCTTTTCAGCAGGAGATAACCGAGAATCCTCCACGGGAATCTCGTAACCTTTCTCAACAATATCCCAAGCATCTTGGGATCCCATCAAGGCTCTCATACGGATGCACCAATTTTTGTAATTGGTTTTAGTAAGGTGGGAGAATTGAATGGGGAAAGTGGATTTTTCGGCCATGGGACAATCGTGATAACAAAAACACGAGAAATTCTTTTCTGATGTGGAAGTTCAGACTACGCTGCAACCACAGAGAATACTTAAGAATAACTCTGGCTCTGATACCACTTTGTTGGAAATAATATAATTATTTCCTTTACTTATATAGTTGGTGGGCACTTATTGGGAAGTGAATGATTTTTGGTTTATATATTTGGAAATGGTGGTTGGCGGATTTGGGAGGAATGGAGAAGAATTAGAAGGCAAAGATGTTTTTATTACTTGGCTCTTTTTCTTTCTTTTGCTCTACACACTTCCACAACTACACACTAGGCTATTTATAGCCATTACATCTCAATCCACCGCCATGCACTTGTGGATTTGATTTTTTTTTTCATTTGTTTAATCACAACTAACAACTACTCACAATAATTAACCTTCTACGACTTTCCACACAACAGACACTCCAAATCTATTTTTCCCATAGCTAACTTTTCTAGGCCTTTCTGATATTTTTCCTTTCTAGATATTTTTAATTAAACTTTATTATATTTCAACATATTAAACCCTTCCGATTTATGTCGTTACATTATTTTTGTATGACAACTGGGTCCTACATTTTCCCCCCTTCGAATGACAAGAAATGTTGAGATTGCATTTAATGTAAGTACAAGCAACAATCTTGTCAGTGATGCACTCAAATGACTGAATGAGTTCAGGCATGGATCATGGATGACAATTCAATCGGGAGTAAGGGTTTCCCAATCAGGGAGTAAGGATTCCTCAAGCACTCAATTTGATGGTCTCAGTAAGCTTTTACTTGCTTGTACAAATTAGAGGTGCATATATTGTTCGTTATTGTGGCAAGCCAAGCATAACATGGGATGACAACACGAAATCTTGAATCCTCATCACATTCGATGGATTATATAGCTTTTCCAGAACCCTTTGCCATGGTTTATTCAGTCAATGGAATCCCTGAGCCCTACTCTACTAATGAAACCCCTGGGCCAGAAACGAAGTGCAAAGATTCATCCAAAATTGAGCTATCTTGACTTACTCCAATAAAAAATAGGTGTTGTTCCTGCAACAAATGCTTCATACATGAGCGTAAGAATTTTAGTACCCAAATCTCCATCTAGAAAGATGATGGGAGTCCACATTAATAAAATAAAAAATTAGAAGAGGACGAGAGGAGTCTCAACCTGCCAAGTTTTTGCCTTGAACCACTCTGGTTACTCATTATTCCCAATGATCTCCTTCCAGCTTGTCCAAGATTTCCTCCTCCTCTTCCTCGAACCACCAGCACTCGTCTCAGGATCTGTTGATGCCGCAGCAGCAGCAGAACCACTTTCAGATTCTTCTGGTTTCTTTTTAGTTTTTGATCTGTTCCTTTTCTTCTTCAAAGCCTCCAACAATGGTATCGGACCAGCAGTTGTGTCTAATGGAGTTCGTGGGCTGCCTGCTGCCACGGGAATGTCCTCCGGTATTGCAGGCAGTATGTCATCAACTTTCATTGCTTCACCAACCTTCTTCCTGCTTGTGGTGGCTTCCTTAACAGGGGTGATCGGGTTGATGGCGGAAGCATCTGATTTGGTCGAACGAGGATTAGGCTTGGGCTTTGGTGGGCATATTGATTTCACATGGCCCTTTGAAGTCCCTCGCTTTTGGTTCCTGAAAGAACAGAAATGGCATGTATAGATGACATAGTTCTGTGGTGGAATGTGGTTCGTTTTGTTCTTGCCTCGACACTTTGCTGCCTTTCGTCGATTCTTCTCGATCCGGATTGTGCAGTTGAAACCAGGTTGCAGAACTGTCTCGCATCTGTTGTGAAACAAGATAAAGAGTGAAACTTTGTGTCAGTTTTCATGGATTTGGCATATGGCAATACAGTCAAAATGGACTGAACGCAAATACATTGCTATTCGAATAAAAATTTGAGGAGCTGGAATGCTTGTTCAATCCTATCATTTAATGGTTAAAACCCCTAGATTTCTAGAGCCAGAATTCACTGATCCAATACTAGAACATCATCTCTGAATTTCTTGATATGCTCAAACACTTCAGAAGAAACCATATTTGAATCTATTTCTGAACGTATAGGCAACACAAGAAAAACTTAGCCGGCATAAAGGGTTTCAAAGAACGATCAAATTCAGACCGCAAAATGCCGAATTTCTGAAAACAGCAGCTTGAACAGCATTCTAGGACAGTCAAGTTACAAGAAAAGCACAAACCTTTGGCATGAAAACAGAGAAGGGTCAGGTGGGACGCCGAGAGCTTCTGCAGCGGTGGCGAATTGGCGACCAAAGAAAGCGCCGAGAGAAGGGATTGAAGCTTCCCCTCCAGCCCATAGCGCAAGCCTTTGAAGGTGGTCGAGTTTCAGCATCGCCTTGGAACTACGAGGTGGACCCTTGTCCTGCGACCTTCCGGAAGGCGCAGTGGCTTGTGACGGGTTCGTCGATTTCTTTCTCTTCGCCATCGGCGGTGTTGTGTTCTGGGCTAAACGTTGTCTTTGCAGTTGGGAATTTCAACGAACAGGTTATGGGCGAAGGCAGCCGCCGTGCCAAAGGAAGTGAAAGGGAGCAATAATGAAGAATCGGGGTCCCAGGTTTTTCCCTTTGTCTCGTTGCATTTCGCTATTTCGCAAGGAAAAGAAAAGAAGAAACTGTGTCGTTTGGTTTTCAACCGCACACAAACAGCAACAGAACTCCATGGCCGAGCGGCCCGAGCCGGTTCAGTAGGCCACTTCACTTCACTGTGAGCTAAAAGAGGATAAACCTCGCTTTTTCAACTTCTGAAGGGTTTTAGTTTTAGCTTTAGAACAAGCGAGAACAAAGCTCTTATCTTTGGCGCTGGCTCTGCAACTCCGCGAGGTACGAACTTTGAATCCCTCCCATGAATCCAATTCTTCGTCAATCTAATGTTTTGCGTGCAAGAACAACTGGGTTCCAACAGTTTCCAATCTATTACCCGAATTCGCGCTCTGTCAATGAAAACAAGCTCTCGGTTCGTTTGGTTTGAATCAATCACTGCAACCTTCTAGGCCCGATTTGATTTCGAAACCTTCCATCTTTTGTGTTTTCACCATTCGCTTTGTGCGTTTGGTACAAAGCTGGAATTGAATCTTTTGAATTCAACACCAGAATTGCTTTACCATGTTTGATCTCGTTATTTTGTGCATAAATTAGGCTCATTTTGCCGCAGGTGACCCGTCCTGAGAGCATCTGTAAAAGAAAATGGCCATGGCAAGTTTAACAGCTTCCCCATACGCTGCCTTCTTATTATCACCCACCAGAAGCAATGCCAAGAACCAGGGTTGTACAAACAACCGACGCCTCAGCATAAGAGCAGTCCACCCAGTGAAGTCACTGGAGGAGCTGTACCAAGTGAAAGTAGAAAGGAAAGTTTCACCACAGCGGCTGGCTGAGCTCGGTGTATCGAGATGGTCAATGTGGAAGACCGGGAAATGCAGGCTGCCGTGGGACTGGCAGGTAGACCAGCTGGTCTTCATCGAGGAAGGGGAAGTGAGAGTTGTGCCAGAAGGAAGCAAAGGGTACATGCAGTTTGTGGCTGGTGACCTTGTTCGATATCCGAAGTGGTTTGAGGCTGATCTCTGGTTCAATGGTCCGTACCAGGAGAGATACAGCTTTCGCGCTTATGGTGATGATGACTGCTAGGCACGCAGCAATGCTACAAACGATCTGCAAATGGTGCGACGGAAGTATTAGAGGTTTTGGAAGAAGTGATGCCTGGAGTATGTGTTTGTTGTATGATAGTTCATAGTGGTGAGTTTTAGAATGTGGAATTCATGACGGGCACTCTTTGAACCTACAGACCTAATGCAATCTTTTGGTTCTTGTATGAGGCAAATAGAAAGCAGCAAACTTTATTGGAATCTAAATTCTGAAAAGCTACTGTATATTGTGGTATGAATATGGAAAAAGTCTGTGAATCCACGGGACTAGTCATATACCATTACCATATAAATTGAACCAAAACGGAACATAAACAGAATAATGAACAAAACATATGTGGCAACTGGCAGGGAGGAAAAGAAACATACGCATTAAACATCTCATAAGGCCATTACCCTGCAGCACAAGGCATTTAGAAAGTCTGACAGAAGTATAAACGAATGGGGGAATGGATTATGGAAACAATATTTCTTTGTGTTAAATTAATACAGGAACAATAAAAATATTATCAGGTAGAAATCCCAAATAGTTGCTACCTTCTATCATCAAATCCCATATAATACACACACCTCCACTGAGATTGTACCCTATCTATCACAAGGAACCACAGCTGTTTTCTTTATCCCCGTGCAACATGGCTTTATACACTGAGAAGCCTGAGGAGAAGTGAGACCAGGAAAAAGATTTCCATCATTAGCAAATCAATGAGGCCACCACCAACCTCTCATCAAAGGATCCAAAAGAGTCTGCAACTTTGCAGTTACTTGCTGTTATTCCTCAACTGGCACTCGAACCCCGTGGACTCGTTCCGCTTGGAATAGCAACCGAGGTGGCGAACCTCGAGACGAGCACAGCAGCATTGGTTGTCACAGATTTGGAGGCCGCAACGTCTTCCAACTTCTTCCAGATGACTTGTCGCTTCTCTTGCGCTTCTCTCTCCTTGGCTTCATCTTTTTGGAATTTTGCAAGGCACTCCTCAAAGAGTTCTGGGTCTGAGTCGGAGAATATCTTCCGTACATTTAGCGTCAGGCTCTGAACGGCTTGGTTCCAGTGACCCCTTGTGTTTTCTTCCAGTGCTGGGAAGATTATCGGCAGTATTACTTTCTGGTTCTGAGTGATTAGGTTTCGTATGTGATCATTGTTCCATAGAAACAATGCTCGTTCAGCCACCTGCCAGAGAAAAATGTCTCCAGTTACTTATGCACCATATCCAGAAAAAGCGTGCACTCGAGATCTAAAGATGAGAAATCAATGTGTACTATTCGTTACCTATGCACCATAGCATATAGAACAGTGAAAATAAACCATGCAGAAAGGTGCAGTTCATTACTAGGAGAGTCTTGCGTTTCTATGAAGTTTAAGAAATCAAGTGAATTTTGTAGATGAAATTGTGTAAGAATGGATGTAACACTAGAATATAGCGTTGATTTTGTAGGAACTGCAGTGTTGAACCTACAGATCTATTATTATTGAAATTAAGAATACATATTAACATGTATTCAGGAAATACGCGTGGGCTGAAAAAGAAGGATTTTAACACCAGATTCACACAAGGAAATGGATCAACTGTCAAAACCATCCACTCCATCATAACCACAGGAAATGAACCTGGGCTAAAGGACCCCTAAAAATATGAGCCAACTTGTATAAAATAGTGCAATGTTTCTGCTGAAAAGAAAGAAGTTAGAAACTTGGCTAGTATGCCAACTAGAATGCTGATTATAATCAGTAGAAATGGAACCCACTTCAAGTGGAGAATATCATGAACGCCCCCCAAACCGGTGGGTGGGGGGTAAGAAAACTAAGAAACTTCAGCATCACCTAGTAAATAGATATATAGCCAGAGTAAGAAAGGTTTTATCATCTATATTATCGCAGTCCAAGATAGATATAACTATTTCAAGGATACTAGACATACCATACAAATAGCAATAATAAATTAACCCAATAACCACAGCTGCTGATCCAGATATCTCTACAAGCTCATATAGACACCTTGATTCAAGGACCGAGGGGAAAAGGGAGCAAACACTGGTCTTGTTAACAGGGGAAGAACCAAAGGATCAGATTGTAGTCATACTTGGTCATGTTGATTTGGAGATCAAACACACACACACACACACACACACACAAAAAAACCGATACCCTAATTCTTAGCATTGTTACCAATACATTTATTAAGAAGTTCCATACGCAAATACATTTACCAATAAATGGTCTGAACATCATATATCTATAAGAGACTGAGTAGAAGCATCAAATAGGGTAAGAGGAAAACAACCCAGAAAGTTGGGTGTTATGAAAGCAGCGCGGGACTGGCTGCTTGGGATGATAAACAGGAACTAAAAACTAAAGCCAGCAAGACAACTGAGTTTTTGTCACATAAATATACCTGAAAATGTGAGCTGTTGAGGCAGCGAGCAATTTGTCGGAACAGTGGGACCATACAGCGCTGAAACTCTGCTCCTTGAGTAGCTTCCAAAACTTCCTCTAACTCACCAAGGAACATCACCTCCTTAGAACTATTAGTAACAGGCCAATATTTCAAAAGACCACGAATCACGGTATCAGCCAGCTTGAAATCCTTCTCAACAAACTGAGTAATGCTGTAGGAGAGCTGCTGGTGATACATGGATATACACTTTGGCTTGTGAAGTGGAATCAATGCACGAACAAGAAACAACTTATGTTCTTCCTTCAATGGCAAAGCAAACCCATTAATAATGCTGCCCAATATCTCCAGCAACTCTGCAATCCCGTTATGCCTCTCTGTTTCAAAAATGAACCTGTAGAAGATATTGTTGATGGACTTCCGGATAAAAGGGCGATGCACCATGAATTTCCCATATATACGATGCAATATCGTCTTCAAATACTCCCTCTCTCTTTGATCCTCAGAGTCAAACAAGTCGAGCAATCTCAAAACAAAAGAATGGTCGATGTATCTCTTGGCAAGTTTCGCATCAGTCTCTGCCGAGGCCACGAATCTAAGTAGAAACTCGTAAACAATCTGAAGATGAGGCCAAGCGGGTTCCATAGTCAGCTCTTCCTCTTCCATATCATACATTTCAAGTATCTTGTTTTCATGATTCGTGGCGGGAAGAGTTCTGAAGAGATTAGAAGCAACCATTTTGGTAATCTCTTGCATTGCTATCTCGTTGAACTTCATCGTTGCAGAGGAAACGTAATCGACTAGCTCGAGCAAAGTCTGCCGCTTGATGTCTTTCTCCTTGAGATGCTTAGTTGGGTCACTGAAATCGAATACAACACAACACATTTGCAGCTTTCTGATGAAGAGATTCAGCTTCTCCGTATTAGGAACCTCCCGGAAACTAGGCAATGCCTCATAAGCCCCAGAAGCCAGGGCATTGACTGTATTGAGCGGCACTCTTTTCCCTTGATTGACTTTGTTCCCGTTGTTCAAATGTGATGCCCCTGAACCTGAATTGGCCGATTTCGAAGCCGCTGGAGCTGGTTTTGAGCTGTTAATGGAATTGGCTCCATAACCCGAATTGACAGACGAAGAAGAATAAGCATTATTAAACCCACCATCACTGTTATTGTCGTTACTCGAAGATTTCGAAGGTTTGCGAGGTAACTTGCCCAATATCTGTTTGATCATCTCTCTTGCCCCCGATAGAAAACCCTAACCCTCCTCCCAACCAAATCCACGCGACCTAAAATCAAAATTCAACCCCTTCAAAAGCTCAAAATCTCCCGTAACTACACCTTGAATTCAACGGAAACCCCCTAACTCGAACAGCAGACCATCGACAACTCAGAAAAGGAGGAAAGAATCAATCTTCACGCAGCTGGCAGCTCCATCATTTCCACCACTCATCAGCTGGTGAAGTTGTATGCATATGTAAACACAGACGAGCTTCGAATTGAAGGGAGCAACGAAAGAAGGACGAGAGCAGCTTTTGACACTTACACATTCAAGAAAAAAAAAGGATGAGATCCGTGAGGAAGAAGAGACTGGAGGAGGCAGAAAGGAGAAGCCAAAACCCCAAGCCCCAAAATCGCAACTTTCCGGCGAATTATTATGATCTGGGAAATGGGGAGGAGGTGGGTAGGGAAATAATTAGAAAGAAACCCTAGAAAATAAAATTCACTTCCTCTTTTTCAAATGGGTTGCCTGCCCCTGGCCCCAATTCGTTTTGAGAGAGAGAGAGAGGGCGAACAGGAAAAAGAAGAAGTAACAAAAGACTGGAAGAGGAATCGAAGAAACACAAAAAATAATAATTAATTGGTGAACAAATAAACGAAAAGTGTAAAGGAAAATATAACAGAACTATTCTCTTCTCTGCTTCTGTCTGGCGTTGTTCTGCTTTGCTGTGTGCGTGTGTTCATTTAACAAGATTAATTGTGGCAGCTAGGGCTACAAATGAGCCAAGCTGAGCCGAATTTTACCCAAATTTAAGCTTGACTTGTTAACAAATGAGCTGAGCTCAAGCTCGAGCCATTTATTAACGAGCCGAGTCGAGTCGAGTTCGAGCTAGGCTTGATTACTAAATTTTCAGATCGTATTTAATACCTTCATTTTGTATGTCGTGTATGGTAAATGTGATTGATGTAGCGATAAAAAAATAATCAAATGTTCAACATTAATTAATCTTATATTATAATTTTTAGGTGTCATAGTTAATAAATTTTAACTAGTTCAAATCATGTTATTTCATAGTATCAAAACAATTTTGTACATAATTTCTTTACGGAATTAAAAATAAGGCATATTTTCTTACACGTTCAACATGTTATACTTCGCATGATGTGAGATATATAATTTAACAATCCTATGAATTATGAAAGTCCAAATTAGATCGATTAGTCCATAAGTCAGTGATCAAGTTGGCCTTCAAAACCACAATGTTGAGACATCTCATGAGCTCTAAATGAGCCAACTCACGAGTTGAGCTCAACAAGCCACCGAGTCGAGCTAGCTCGCGAGCTTCACGAGCTGAACAAAGCTAGGCTCAAGCTTGGCTCGTCAGTAAACGAATCGAGTTTCGAACGAGCTTTTCCCGATTCGAGCATCGAGTTGCTCGCGAGTAGTTTGGCTCATTTGCAGCCCTACTGGCAGCTGCAACAAAAACTGAACACAAAACTTAAAAAGCAAAAAGAAGAAAAAGAAAAAAGAACAGACAAAAATTATAGGAAATAGTGAACAAGAAAATTAATAACAGGCTGCAAATGGGTCGACCTGCTCGGGAGCGGATTGACGTTCGATTCGTGAAAAATTTGTTTGAACTTCAATTCATTTACTAACGAGTCGAGCTTGAGCTAAGCCTTCTGTAACTCGTGGAGCTCGCGAGCTAGCTCGACTCGGTGGCTTGTTGAGCTTAACTCGTGAGCTGGCTCGTTTAGAGCTCATGAGATGTATCAACTCTCAACATTATGTCAATATAGCCAACTTGATTACCAACTTATGAGCGAATCGATCTATATGAGTTTGATTTTGATAATTTATAGGATTGTTAAATTATATATCTCACCCTATATGAAGTTTACACGTAGATTATGCGAGAAAATATGTCTTATTTAATTTTAAAAAGAAATTATGAATCATAGAGTGCTTCAATACGATGAAATAACATAATTTTGACTAGATAGAATCCATTAACTAAATAATATGATACCACAAAGTATACCATGAGATTAGTTAATATTGAACACTTAACTATTATTATTATTATTATTTCCATCTTAACATGAATCACATGTATCATACATGACATACAAAATGAATATATCAAATACGAGTCAAGATTTTAGTAAGCAAGCTAGCTCGAACTCGACTCGGCTCGTTAACAAAAGAACCGAGCTGGAGCTCAACTATAAACGAGCTGAGCTCAAACTGGGGTAAAACTCAGATTGGCTCATTTGCAGCCCTAATAACATAGAGATGGCAACACGTGGAAAATTTGTGTTGCTCATCGAGTTATTGCTTTGTCCCTTTTTAGTTTTTTTTTTAATTGTAAGTCACTTAAATTGGTATATCCAAATGAAGTAATTGTAACCTCTCAAACTTTTTCACGATAAGATATCATTCATTTTGGGTTTAGATTCATCAAGATTTTGTTTTTGGATGATTTTGGGGGTATTACAAAGGACCAAGTCCAAGTAAAAGCCCAACAGCTCGTTGGAGTGAAGTATCACTAAGGGGAAAGCCCACACGCGGACATAGATAAATGGGTTGGACCCAAGGAGTCGAGTTGTGCCAGAAAGGGGAGGCACATAGAGACAAGGCTCGCTAGATGCCAAGGAAGTACGAATTGTCGATGGTCCCTGTCACGGACATAGACTTTCGAAGTCCGTGCGGCATCTTGAGATGCACTCATTCCTCAAGCCCAGCCTCTCTACATACACATGCCAACAGGTTTCGCCCTGCCTTGGGCTCATCAGGGAGACGACATAGCCTCCGACCAGTTGTGTCTTCTCTTGCAACGATCCCCTTCATAGCCACATCCTGACTCGGCCAGCAATTAGGTTACCGATTCATGAAGCGGGAGCGAGAGCGCGAGAGCGTCTATTGTTCAAGAATTAGAAATTAAGAGCGGCAAGAGAGAGTGAATATTATATTATTATAATTGCAATATTATTTAAAATGTCAATTAATTATGATAAAATACTAGCACAAGTCCTGGAAAAATATTTTGAAAAGGGAAGTTCTACCGTTTTAATTCCTAATCAAACCAAAATAAAATAGCAAAATGGAACATATGAAAAATGATTTGTTTACCGCCCTAAATTGATTATTTAAATTATCATTATATTTGATTTTTTTTTTGGGAAAAGTAGTACTCACAATTCGCTACTCCCAACAACTAACCCCAATACTTTCCCAAATACCCCTTGTCTCTCTCGTCTTCATTCTTCTTCCCAAAATTACTAGCCAACTGTTCTCTCTGTTTCTAATATCTCTACTACTTTCTTTATGTCCCCAATCTTTACAAGAGTTTGTAGACCGCACCATATCCTCACTTTATTCATTCAATTTTTTTCAATTCGATAGTACACCGTCGAATCCAGCCTCCCTTGTAAAAAGGTCAGATCTGCTCTTCGTCGATGAGTAGCAGATGAACCAACAAACCCTTGCATGTAAATATCAAGGCTACAGGAGCAATTAATTGGTTTGCTTATTTGCTGAAAACTTCAGTTTTGTCTTTTTTCTTTACTCTCCAAATCTCAAGCACATATAGATCTCTCCATCAAAGCAGCAAGCCAGCTACTCCTCATCTTCGGGTTGTATACGTTGATTTCTCCGTGCTTTCTTTCCTATTATTTCGATTACACAAGAAAGATCTCACAAATTAGTTGTCCTCTCCTTGCCGATTCATTTGTGTGGTTTAAGAACTCTTAAGTTTGTTAGTTTCAGAAGATTTTTTTTGTCAAAATAAAGTCGACGATTTTCTCCTAATAATCCGCACTCTAGCCGATAATAATTTGCAATTTTTCAACGGATTCCCGTAAATGCGCGATTTCACGCTCTAAAGCGGGAACGCCGCCCTTCCTCACACGAATTGTGTGATCTAAGCCAGAAACGATGCACAGGCAGACAACGCCTTATCGCTAGAATGTCGCCCCCTTTACCCCTCTTGTGGCAAGGCGACCAGATGACAGCGTTCTTCAGACGATCAACACGGTCATGACATTTCGGGTCGTGACATTCTCCACCACTCATAATGCAGCACGTCCTCGTGCTGGTGAAGAATGCTTCTCTCCGCAGCATGCATTGCAACACTCGAACCGATTGTGGTCGTCCGCATACGATACCATCCTCTGATGGACAGGCTCCGGTCGCGTCCTCGCGCTAGCCTGCTGTGCCCCGCGCACATACCGCTTCGCCCCTCAACATCAACCTTCACTCTTCGCTTCTGCTGCGCTAGTACCTCAGTCGACCTTCACCCTACGCTACTCCCAGCATTTGTACCTCGATCGACCTTCACCCTACGCTCTCGCTAGCGTCAGTTCCTCGGTTGAACGGCATTCTCAGCCGCTGCATCTTCAACCTGTCGAGGTCCCCCACAATGACGCAACACATGTGTATCTGCGGCCGGACCGCCTGATATGCTCACCCAGGACCGCCTCTCATTCGGGCATAGGGTCGGCCCATACTCGACCTATGTCGTACTGAGAGAGGAACTAGGCTCTTCAGCCTAACCAGGCTCTGATACCACTTGTCACGGACATAGACTTCCGAAGTCCGTGCGGCGTCTTGAGGTGCACTCATTCCCCAAGACCAGCCTCTTTGCATACACATGCCAATTGGTTTCGCCTTGCCTTGGGCTCAACAGGGAGACGACAATAGCCTCCGACCAGTTGTGTCTTATCCTGCAACGATCCCCTTCATAGCCACTTCCCGACTCGGCCAGATATGATGCACAGGCAGACAACGCCTTATCGCTAATGTCGCCCCCTTTACCCCTCTTGTGGCAAGACGATCAGATGGCAGCGTTCTTCAGACGATCAACACGGTCACGACATTTCGGGTCGTGACATCCCCCATGGGGAACCTGGTACCTGTCAGAAGGACTGCCATGTTTGTCAGGGCGCCTAGCCTGGTCGAGGTACGGAGCATTAAATGCAATGATGATGTAAGGCTGAAATGAAGGAGCTCGGTCGAGGGTTGGGAGTATAAATAGTACCGGTAGGTTACACTTATGCAGGTTGAATTCTTTCACTACACTAGATTTTGACACTTCTCTTTCTAGAAATCGGACTAACTTGATCGTCGGAGGATTAACGGGTTCGTACACGCCCCCTCTATGCGTTCGTGTAGGTGAGGCACCTTAGAGATACTAGAAGATCATGGGAGCTTAAAGAAGCGTGGGTCCCGAAGTTTAGGCACAAACAGGTGCATATCAATGTTATTTTTCATAAGGTCAAACATCTTTGGAGTGCTCAACAGTAAGCACGCTTAAATTTGGAGTTCTTACAAGAAATCTTCCATTTCACCCGAAAATGCGTCTTGTTAATTAATATTGTTTTCTAACTTATGAACCATTAATCTCTCCCGTGCTTTGTCAATGTGAAATTTTCCTAAGGCGTTACATACACCCCCTTGGGCTCAATGCCCCCAATAAGGTTTGCCCACCATCATTTAAGAGGAACACAAATAGGCTCTTAGACCACTCATAACATACTGAACCTTTTTCGGACAAGGTATTCTCCAGTTTGGGTCTAGACCCTCACAGATTTTTCCTTGAGGTGCATATCAAGGTGACTTCTCATAAGGCCATCCATCCTTGT